AAAAGTAATATCTTAAAACTATAAGTGTTGTCATTATGTTGATAACACTTTTTCATAATAACACATCAGTAGACAATCGAACACATTAAGCGATTGATATTATATTAAGAAACTACCAGAAGACGATTTTTACAATTTATATATAAATTTGTCCAATACGAAAACGTGGGCCAGAGAAAAGCAAATTTTGTACAAGAGCATTTCCAGTATATGATTCATCGTGTAACAAATCATTATGTTTAATTAATGATTGTAGACATNAAGTTACTGTAAGTAGTTTTAAATATATTTATATATACTAGACGGTGTCGATTATTTTTTAAATAAAATATATCTTTAGGAAAATCATGCTACAAATCTATTGACACTTGTATCTTTGACTCATCCGCATGAATTTACATTAGTCATGCTACGTAATAAAAGAAAGCATGAAGAAATAGCTGCTTCCATTGGTTTATATATAAAAAAAGCGTCTTTATATTTTGTCGGTCTATAAGTCCAATAAGCGGTAGGAAGATTAATTATGCAACAAAAATTGCTTTAATTAACCTATCTAATTTTTAAGAATACCATTAGTAGGAATACCGAAATAATTCCGGAATTTTATTACGGTTTTCGGTAATGTATCGGTTTCGGTACTATCACGGTAACGGTAAGACTCAATTTCGGTACTATATCGAATTCGGTATACAATCTCTAGTATAATACCGGTATTGAAATCATACCAATAATAAGTCCCTGATTACATTTACCTTTAACCTTTTTCAACCACTTGATCATTAACAGTATATTATGCTTTGTTGAGATAATAGGTCTATGTTATTTCATTTTCTATGTTCTGTTTTGTGTTTAATTATATACAAAATTTATAGTATTCTTTCAAATATAAAAAGCAATTTTTATTCTACAAACAATAGCTTAATGACTTACCATCTTTTGTATAGTGATATTCAATGCATTGAAGTATAAATCTTACAAAAATGTGCAAACTGGTAATCAAACAAAATCGAAAGCGTATCTCCTGATCGTATCTGCGCGTTCTCGCCTCTTCGAGAAATTTTGGATAACTACAGAGCAGTTCTTTCTGTGAAATAATGAATACACACCACGATGGGTAAGTTCCACGTGCCGTTCGCAACGCTATTGAGCGTTATCTATCTTTCTTTACTTTTCGATGAGAAATAAGGGTGCGATCTCATGCGCTGTTATTTTTTGCGTAACGCGTAACCAATCAGGGAAAAATTACGTGTACTAACATAAAACACGTAATCTCTCTGATTGGCTGCGCGTTCCGCGTTACGCGAAAAATAACAGTGCATGGGATCGTACCCTAAGGATAAAACGATTCCATGAGAGTTGCGAACGGCAAGTGGAAGTTACTTGATGTAAACGTATGTGTGGGGGTAGAGCATAGACTTATACAAGGTGTCCGACAATCACTTTAACATCTCTCGTAGGCAGATAAAAGAAGTAACCCTGTGTCGAAAAATTATGAACCATTTTTTTTAATACCATATAATAAAGGTGGCACACGTCTGGTGTGCGTGAGCGCTCCGCGTGGCTCACTGACGTGAGCCCAGCTAAAGGTCGGCGCTGATTGGCTTGATTTATTCAATAATTACTCTTTTATTATATGTAATAGAAAAAAATGGTTCAGGACTTTTCGACTCAGTTTTACTCCTTCTACCTGCCTACGAGAGATGTTAAAGTAATTGTCGGACACCTTGTATAATAAACGGTACATTTGTGTAAGAGAAGCTGAAGCTTCGTTAAAAGAAACAGAAATAATCGTGGAGTAGTTCTCTTCTTTTCTAGCAGTGAGTTGATTGGCGGCCGCGGCAGGCCGAGGGAGTGGTTTAGAGCACCGAAGATAGACGTCTGACTGAGAATGAGTTGAGAGAGAGTGATAGTGAGAGGTGATAGCGTGCATGTAGCATGTATAGACTTGTTGAGAGACTTGGCAAACGCTAACAATTAACACTAACAATTCATAGACCTTTTTATAATTTAATTTACTTTATACTTCTATAGAATTTAATTTAACATATTTTTTATAAATTAAGCTATCTTTACATAACAACAATTGCTTATGCTTTAATGTAACCAAGTGTTGTTGTTTCTCTTTAAAAACATAAATAAAAGAAGAAAAAAATTATATCCATGCAAGACTCGAACCTTTATAATCACTCGAGCAAACAAGTCAAAAATAATGGTTTTTTACGTCTAAGGCCTGGTTTATGCGGGCAATAAGTGTTAACTTATGCCGGAACCGGTAAAGTTTCACTATAGGATTTCAATGGTTTTGTTTATACAAAATTGCCGAATGCGTATAAACATATGTATTGGAATCTTATAGTTAAACTCTACCGGTTCCGGCATAAGGTAACAGTTATTGCGCGCATAAACCTGGCCTAACTACTCCATGGTTAAATAAAACATGTGTGACTATTTGTGATTGGTCGACCGCGTGACTTTTGATTTTACGGTGAAAATACCGTTGATTATTGTGTTCTTTCGGATGGCACGTGCATGCTCACGTCTACGGGCTCATTCGGTCTCCATAACTTGTTGATTACGCATCGGCGGGCAATATACAATACGTATTATTTACTTCAGATTCGACAAGTGTCAATGGAACAAAAGAGTAAAATGTACGTGCTCGTAAGAATATTCTTCACCAGATAGATCCGACTTTTATATTGCTGAAATTACTTGGATGTGTAACATCAATACTAAAAGTTATGTAAATTAGAATAAAATTATGACTTTTTGAGAAAACATAGAAATTATGATCATATACGATTATATGTAAGGGATCAGAGAGCGCAAAATTTTGGATCTAATTTTATATGATCATACACGATTTTCTCTATTTATATACGATCATATAAAATCAGATCGAGCCAAATTTTGAATCTGATTTTTCACGATCACACAAAATCATATCCAACTTATATAAAATCATATTCGAATTATATAGAAGTGTATACAATCATACAAAATCATCTGATCCACATATGATTCTATATGATCACATGAGTTTCCATTTTTTCTATATAGATTGTATCTATAAATATATGGTGTATTTTAAACAAAAAATTTAAGTGCAAATTAAATCGCAAGTATAACAAGAAGTTATTATACAAAAAGTAAAAACGTTTTGCTTATTGTAATATATAAATCGCAATCATGAATGTATGTGATCGGTATGCGTATTTTTCTATATAACAATTTAGAAAGCTCTTGATATATACCTCAGCANATGGATGCATGTTTATCAATAATCTACGATGTCTTTAGTTTTACGATACATATTCTGTGTCGATTTATTTAGATCTAAGCAGATCTAGACAGATCTGAGGTAATTTACTTGTAAGTGTATCTATAGTAGATCTAAGTAAATTTAAAGTAGATCTACTAATAAATAAAAGTGTAAATTTACATACACTTAGTTATATTCATATAAATCTAATTTATATCTACTTAAATGTACTTTGTATCTATTTAGATATAATTTATATTTATTTAGATTTAATTTGAATTTGATCTAAATAATTTAGATCTAATCCAGTTTTTCACGAGATTGTAAGCAATTCTTCTTCAAATTTTACGATTACGACTAAAATCGTGTCACGTGCAATAGCCTTAAATGCAAAAGCATACTTTGCGTATTATTTACTGTTTTATCGCAAATCTTTATTATTTAAAAAGGTATTGCAAATAGTTTGGGTATTCTAAAAAAAAATATATTGCATACAAATCTTTCTACATAGCTTTACTTGAAAATATTGCGTATTTTTAAAAAGTGCAAAATTTTTAAAACCTACTAAACAAATGTTAGTTTGCAAATACAATTTTTATTATAAGTATGTAAACAATATTTTTTTGGAAACATATCAATTAACAAAATGAAAAGAATAGATTATTACATTAAATTAAAAGTAACTTATCATTTACAGTTTTTTAAATACATAAACAGAAATACTAATTGTTTGAATAAATAAGATTTCGAGAAAAAATGGAATATTATGTGATCATAGAGAATTATATGTGGATCGGATGTAATTTTGTATGATCGTAAACATTTATATAAGTCAAATATGAGTTTATATAAAATAGATATTATGTGATATTATTGATTTTATGTGAATGTGTAAAATCAGATCCGAAATTTAGCGTACTCTGATTTTATATAATCATCAAGAGGCACGGTACTGTTTCGCGCCAAGTTCACGCGCAACGACGTTGCACTCTAACTGCGCGAGCACGCTGTTATATAAATATGTTATATAACCATATGTTGTATAAATGTTATATAAGTATATAACTGTTATAAAATTTTATAAATATTATGTANTTTTAAATATTATATAATTTTAACTATTATATACTTTTATATAAATATATAAAAGTATGTACGATAATATATAATTTCTTATATGTATATATGATTATATAAAATCAGATCACGCCAAACTTCAGATCTCATTCTACACTATCACATAAAATCATATCCAGCTTATATAAAATCATATTTGACTTAAAAGTTTACACGATTATACAAAAGTGCATCCGATCCACATATAATCTTATATGATCACATGATTTTCCATTTTTTCTCAAGATTGCTCGATATACATATATAACACTGTTTGATACAGAGTATTTCTTCTTTCCTTTACATTTTACAGTTTTATACCTTAATATCGTGTTTTTCATAAAGCGTATGCTAAGTATTCATGTCTGCGCAAGTAATTATATATAAAGTTATATATAAAGTTACACATAATAACAATCGTGTAAGATAAATATCAATATATTATTATTCATTTTATCGAAGACTCGAATTTATTTTATGNTCACTTTGCAAATTATTAAAATCCGTATCGTATAGATCTGAATTTTAACATACTTTATAAATACCTATTAGTATCATAAAATAAATTAAGGTTTCTTATACAAAAAAAAAATAACTTTAGCATTAAACGTACCACGTGAATACTTTTTTGTATTTAATTAAAACGCTAGACTACTATATATACTAAAAAATTTTAAGTAGTCATAGAACTACCTAATTCGTGCGGTTAGTAGAAAATGTTTACCAGTTTCTTTAAAACATTTTCATTCTATTTAACATCGTACGACGACTTTTAACTTTCTCTCTAATTTTGATAAGTATTGTCTACAAAAAACAAAAATACAGTTACAATAACATCTTGTATCATACTTTTGCGTAAGTCTGAGAACGTTACAAAATACACTTTTGTAAACCAAACAAAAATGTAGCCAAAAAACCCAGTTTATATATAAGTTAAACATAAATTTTGATTTAAACAAGTAGAAAGCAATGCACGAAGAAAAATTATTTAAAAATTTATATTTGTATATTTAAAAAAACCTTTTACCTTCTCCATAATGATAGACATGTTACTCAAAAGTTCTTCAAAATACAGGTCTATAATCTGAAAAAACTTAAGTTAGTAACATTGAATTTGATAACTGATATTACGACAAAAAATTCTTATACACTACATATATTTTTTTAAATGCTAAACAAAATTAAAGATATATAAAGTACTATTATACTTTTAATACGCACGTATGCTTAGACATATGTATACATATATGATTTATGTTTTACATTTATAGTAACAAGAAACAATTAAGTTCATATATCATACCTTTTCAAGATTTTCATCTGAATAAGTATTATTAATAATAAAAATGACCACTGCAAATAGATTGTCTTTGATAGATTGTCTACAAAAAAAGAACAAACAATAGATACTTAGTGAATAAAATTTTTATGTACATACAACATATTCTTACACATGATATAATAAAACAATGTATATTAAGTGAATAATTGTAAATAAATATACAGACTATATGGAATATATTTTATATTATTTGTTTGTACAGTATAAATATAAACACTTTTATATGCAGAACATTCTTTACCTTGCAACACGTCTTATTTTGTGTATTATACTTTTCAATAATGTAACATCTTTTGAATATTTTGCTATACTACTGAGTAGAATATTAATAGACGTCCTTTTGTTTTGTAGATTAACCAAACGTAAAGATTGCAAAATATTATGCCCAGAACAAGGTGACAATTCAAACATTTCTCCTAAGTTTCGCTGAGTTACATATATTTTCTCTATGTTTTGCCACAAATCAGACGTATAAGTACCATTTTCTAAAATTAAACCTTGGCAGTATATCCATTTCTGCCAACTTGGCAAAAGTCTGGAAATATTAACGAACATATATAGTTCTACTTACACAAATATTACTCGAATGATTTTAGTTTTTTTTTTCTGATCGTAATGATGTATTACCACTCATGTCACATTTTAAATTATGTTTATTATAACCGTAGAAGCGAGGTGTCTTTTGACGTCATATTCATTTAAATTTGTATATAATTATATACTTATAATCTACAAATCTATGTGATTTCTAATATGTATTTACTATAAATTTATGGAATTATAGTTAAAGAATACTTTATTTGCGAATGTTTATTGTCATTACAATATTATAATATCACCATTCAATTTACAGTTCTATCATACTATGTGCGATGTATAAAAAGCAGAGTAACGTTATAGTGACGTCACTTTGAGAGAAATATAAAAACGTACCTGTGATGTACAGGATTTTCTAAATGCCCCTGTAATATAGCACTAATATGTTCTTTGCACTGTAAGCCACCAAGAATGCATGTCCATTTTAAAACTTCGTGATATACTTGATTACTGACAGTATTCTCGGAAACATTTTTATGTGATATATCTTCCAGAAAACTATTCAATATTTCTAGAACTTTACTCTATAAAAAAAAGTGTAAGGTGTATTAATGTATTTTGATAATTCCGTAACTCGTAAGTGTACTCAAAAGATGTGTATTTAAGAATTATTCCATATTAATTATGTATTTTAACAGTTATTTACGAGTGTTTTTTTGTTGTCAAATGACAAAAAAAGACAACTGAAGGAAGAAACGTACACAATGTATATTATAAAACTATATATTTCAACGANAGGTTTTTAAATTTAGTCGATTTTTTAGATTCTTCACTTTTGTTCTTTCTTAATGCTCTGTAATAATATTTACCTTAATATTTGCACTTTCTGGATATGGAAAAATCTTTGATATATACTGAAGAGCAGTAAGTACAGGATACCACGTTATGTACGTATTTTGCATGGAAACTATATTGCTTGCAAGATTGAAAAAAATGTCTATATTATTTCTTTTTGCAGCAGGATATANGTTATACTTTGTATTTTGTATTAAAAAATAAAAAGCATCGTCGAGAATTTGTGCTAAAATGACGTCAGATAATTTATATGCATCCGAAGTCTTAGATTTTTCACTTTTCAAAAAAAGAGCAATATTTTCCCAAGATTTACGATCATAATTGACGCGATATCCTACAACAATTAAATTATAAATAAATATTTATATAAGATAAACAAAAAACATCAAAAACGAAAACAATAGAGAAAATTAGGTAAACTAAAAAAATTAGTGAAAACAGTAAATATACTATTTACAGAATACATAGAATATAACAAAGTTTTTTTTATTGTATTACCATTGTGCGCTGTGATTATGATAAAATCATCTTCTTTAATATACGGGACAAAGATATTTATTCCGTTTGGTTTCAGGTACACATAATTACTACTAGACGTCTTTCTTGATATTTTTACATAGATTATAGGTATCCACCACTTGTATGCACACATGTCTTTTTGTTTATCCGCAACACAATCTCGAATCATAATTTCTAGAAATTGTGTATCATTGTTACGGTTTACTTGTACCACAGGATAACCATCGTGTGTTATCCATGAATTTATCACATATGTTAAATTTATATTTCCTAAATACATATTTTTATTTATGATCGGCTCCAACATTAAATTCTTCCATATAATCTTGAGAATAGACTGGTCATTGAACGTCTCACTTGATGTACTAGTATTAATGACAACAGATAGGAAAACAAAAAATATATTGGTGTTAAATGTCTTAAACGTAATAAATATTTGAAGATGTTTTCACGTTTCGTATAAAATCATGCTTAAACCCACACTTTCTCTCTTTAATCAGTGCTTTATATAAATGTATAATACTTACGTGTTATATACTTTTATCGCGTTCTCAAAAATAAAGTTGTATAGTACATCTTGATTACGGAATAAGCTATTAATCATATAGAAAATATTGAATGCTAAAACATAATTTCGAATGTGTGAGCGTTATTTAATTATGATCACAAGACTTTGTAAATGATTGTTGATACATGCATACAATAAAAACTAGATGACTCTACTTAATAATTTGATGATGTATTCGCGGACATTGTATTGTATATTTTTATTCTTCGTATATCTATGAGATATATAAACGTAGGTTTTATATTGTTACGCAAAGTTTTAAGCACACAATTAAAAATTGTAAATATCGTTTTTCCTTACTTTTTTCTCTCCACATTTTACTAAAAGTTACGTTGTAAAACAATCGATTTTCTTGTAGTGGTAAATTATATTCAATAAATGCTTGTGTATATTCAAAATTTTGCCGTCTTGTCTGGACCACAATCGACTTTAGTAAAGTGTCATTGTAAATCTACCAACAGTTTGTATTACACAAATGTTTATTTTTAATTAAAGTACTATAGGTTTATTTTATCACAATTTCGGTATCCGTCAATAAAAACAGTTATAGTCAATATAAACAGTTAGTATAAGCAAATTATTTGTACTCATTAAAAACTTATGTGTATAATAGAAACATTAATTAGATTAAAAGAGAATGTGAGACATTAAGATCTTTCAACGAAAATTTGTGATATCTTTATTTATACATATACATATTATATTTTTAGTTTCTATTATTTGTTTCTGTATCGGTTTCTATATAGATATTATTGCTTATTCACGCGTGTGTGTGTGTGTTTAACACGTTGAATGCCGTGAAGGTCACCTATGACTAGCATTGCCAAACTTACTAAAACCACATAATTCAATTAAATGACAATTCTTCTCAATTTGTATTATTACCATCGTTATTAAAAAGATTTAAATAAACTACTGAATTATAAAACATAAAAATACTTTCTTTTTAAAATCATAAATGTTATGCGCGTATGATGCAATGTAGAACTTTTACTCATTCGATAGTATTCGACAACGTTTATAGCGAGATATATAGTAAAAAGTAATTAAATAAATTTCTTGAGACACGATTTTTGTTTAACAAACATATTACTTTTAAAAATTATTTCAAACATCAAAACTAAATAAAACATAAACATTACTGTAGCGTGTAGAAATAGAAGGGTTATCATTACGTAAAATTTGAACAGACTTAACAATCCAAGAATGTACACCAATTGAGACAATTGACTTTTATACACAAAAAGTGAAATATAGCGTGAGATCCAAACGACGTATTACAGCGCTATTGAAGATCATCGGTGATCCTTAGTAAAATAAATGCATAAATCATGATAATCTAGTTTACCTTATAATATTGTAAATAATATTTTACAATCATATGCATTGCATAGCAAAACCTTTATTTTGGCGTCGCGGGCAAGTCATAAAACGTCTGACATTGAACGTGTTAATATAAAATTTATATGATGTTACTATTTTTCGAAAAAATAAAAAAAGAAAATTAAAAAAGCTTAACTTTAGATAGTATACATTACTTTAATATATATAAATGTTACTGCACAATACAGGTTATTTAAACCCGCAACTAACGTACAAATGCAAGTAATACCTGATCAATTAGATAAACTCCGTAAAATGTTGAAAACCCCTCGATAAACCAAGGATCAGATTGCTTAAATCTAACTAACCAATTACTGAACATTTCTTGTATCACACTGCGTGCAATCGAACATGTTATTTGTCTTTTTCTTATAATCGAATCTACTTCTCTATTGTAGTAAACGATGTCAGCCTCTCTAAACATTTACATATTTTTAATGGAATATTGTTATTGTAGACATGTGTAAATTTGTTCACAAACTCATTTTTGGGTATTGAGATATGTATCTTACTTAAATAGAACAAGTCCAGTAGTTACTACAGTTTCATAATAGCTAGAGTTCACTGGAAGTACTACGTACTGCACATATGGTGTTTCTATGATATCTTTCCATTTGTTTCTGATAAAATTCGTAATGTCATTAATTCGAGATAGTGCATATGTAGTGTCATTTATTACTTGTAATCTGCTTTTTACAGAAATTGTATTTAACAATAAAATGACACTTTCATAAGGTAGAACTGCTGTTGCTACCAATTGAGTGGACATTACAGATGTACTAGGAAAGGAAGTGTAGTATGAAGTATAGAACTTATTTCTTTCAAAAATTCGATCACCAGGCATATGTGAGAGAACTGTTTCAATGTAGTCATGGTTAATTCGAATAGTAAAAGTGGCCTTAGTTGCAAACTTTTCCCAATATGGAAATATCCATTCAGCGGGAATACGCGGTAATATCAAATATCTATATAATGTAAAACGTTGTTGTTTTTAGTACTTTGTTAATTACAAACTTTATAACTCCTATTGCAACGAGACAAAAGAAGAAATACTAATTGCATTAGTATTTACTGTACTTACTTTTTTATTTTAGTTTCATCACTAAATGGATAAATCGTCATAACTTTATCTAAACTGCAATTATATTTTGCAGATATCCACAATCTACTTCCATTTACTATTGGTTGTTGTATTCTAAAGTGTTTGCTATTATAATTGAAACTGATGTTCAATGTTTTGAATCGATCGTCCGGAAATAATGGCAAAACTTTTGTTTCCCAAAATGAAGATAGAAAATTAAAAGAATTAGTTACAATGTTAATTTTTGGTTGTTCACAGTAACGTCCGAAATAAACTTTTATGTTTTGCAGTGGACACTTAACGTTCAATGTAACAAACGAATCAACAATAAGAGAATTTTTTTGTACTTCCGCAGAAATATTCAGAATATATTCCATCGGTTCTATGCAGTTCGGAGAAACATTTTCATCTGCAGAAGAAGTAATTCCATTGACACATAAGAGGCATACAGTTCCAAGAACTGTAAGCATCTGTGTAGTTAGTATCTATAAAATAATTTTGTACAAGTATCGTATAATTTTGGACAAGAAAAATACATGTTATTAAAATCACAATTACAACACAAAAAGTATTATATAAAAAAGAATTACTGGTTCTTGTTTTAAATACATAAATGTCAAACATGATTGTATGTAATTGTGTATCTTTCTTTTTGCGTATGGTTTTCAATATCAATTTTTAGAGTTCATAAAATATTACTTAAGCATATAAGTGTGTTTATGAAGAGATATAATACAGCGTCTTTCTTTCTATCACACACACGAAATTATTTGTTATTGTTGTATGTTTTATTTGACATACATAATTAAAAACACAGAAGTACAGATTATGTTTACAACAAATTCGATATTCACTTAATAAAATCAGTTTTGAGAACATTGTTTAAGTTGTTTATAATCCATTTTAAATGAGATAAGTTAAATATTACAACACTAAAGAAAAATTATTACTACATCGTATATACCAATATATACCAATTATTATATGCTACTAACCAATTATTATATACCAATTCTTATATGCTAAAAATTGAACTAAATTACAATTTTTTCTATATGCTAAAGATTTCTATATGCTAAAGAGTGATTTAAATTTAAAGTTTTTAATTCAAAATTTTTTAATTATATATTTAGTTTTAATTTACGTTAACTATATAGATAAACTAAAGATTTTGAAGTCTGTAGTCCATCGGTGATGGTCGGTGAAAGAAAGCTTTCATTCGTTTGTTTTCACATACTCATGTTTGTATTGTTTGTGTGACTTTTCTTGACATGGCTGTTGACATGTAATCACTGTCTTTTGAGATTGTAATGTACCTTACATTTCTATAATTGTTATCATATTTTTTGTGATTACTTCTATCTTTATTTTGTAAAGTTGGCTTTGCTTCATTTTGTTTGGTTTAATATTTTTAATATATTTGTATGCGTATTTTTGTCATGTTTCTTTTAAACGTTTGTAGATTTAGACAAAGTAAACTTATATATTTCTTACTTTGCACATTATAGAATTGGCTGATGATGATTGCAAAAATAAAATTGATCAAAAAGTTTATATCGTTACTTTATAAACATAAATTTTTCTTTACCTACTACCACTTGTAGACTGCAGCTGTAAAGTTCTTTCTTTCTCTCTTTCTCTCTGTTTCTCGTATTTTATCTATTACATTCAGAAACTTATACCGGTATGCAAACTACCGGTATTTTACCGATATTTTTAAGTAATGATATGAAAACCCTTATGCAAACCGAAATGCAGATATACCGATATGACGTCATACTGGTATACGATAATACCGGTATATTTACCCATATTTACCTATATTTACCGATAATTTTTTCGTGATTTTTTAAAAGTAATATCTTAAACCTATAAGTGTTGTCATTATGTTGATAACACTTTTTCATAATAACACATCAGTAGACAATCGAACACATTAAGCGATTGATATTATATTAACAAACTAACAGAAGACGATTTTTACAATTTATATATAAATTTGTCCAATACGAAAACATGGGCCAGAGAAAAGCACATTTTGTACACGAGTATTTTCAGTATATGATTCATCGTGCAACAAATCATTATGTTTAATTAATGATTGTAGACATAAAGTTACTGTAAGTAGTTTTAAATATATTTATATATACTAAACGTCGATTATTTTTTAAATAAAATATATCTTTAGGAAAATTATGCTACAAATCTATTGGCACTTGTATCTTTGACTCATCCGCATGAATTTACATTAGTCATGCTTCGTAATAAAAGAAAGCATGAAGAAATAGCTGCTTCAATTGGTTTATAAAAAAAGCGTCTTTATATTTTGTCGGTCTATAAGTCCAATAAGCAATAGGAAGATTAATTATGCAACAAAAATTGCTTTAATTTACCTATCTAATTTTTAAGAATACCATTAGTAGAAATACCGAAATAATACCAGAATTTTATTACGGTTTTCGGTAATGTATCGGTTTCGGTACTATAACGGTAACGGTAAGACTCAATTTCGGTACTCTATCGATTTCGGTATACAATCTCTAGTATAATACCGGTATTGAAATCATACCAATAATAAGTCCCTGATTACATTTACCTTTAACCTTTTTCAACCACTTAATCATTAACAGTATAATATGCTTTGGTGAGATAATAGGTCTATGTTATTTTATTTTCTATTTTCTGTTTTGTGGTTGGTTAAATACAAAATTTTTCTAGAATTCTTTAAAATATAAGAAGCAATTTTTATTCTACAAAAAATAGCTTAATGACTTACCATCTTTTGTATAGTGATATTCAATGCATTGAAGTATAAATCATCCAAAAAAGTGCAAACTAGTAATCAAACAAGATTGAAAGCGTATGTCGTGAGCGTGTCTGTGCGTTCTCGCCTCTTCGAGAAATTCTGGATAACTAAAGAGCAGTCCTTTCTGTGAAATAATAAATATACACGATGGGTAAGTTCCACGTTTCGTTCGCAACGCTATTGAGCGTTATCTCTCTTTCTTTACTTTTTGATGAGAAATAAGGGTGCGATCTCATGCGCTGTTATTTTTTGCGTAACGCGTAACGCGTAACCAATAAGGGAACTTACGTGTACTAACATAAAACACGTAATTTCTCTGATTGGTTACGCGTTCCGCGTTACGCGACAAATAACAGTGCATGGGATCGTACCCTAAGGATAAAATGATTCCATGAGAGTTGCGAACGGCAAGTGGAAGTTACTTGATGTAAACGTATGTGTGGGGGTAAAACATAGACTTATACAAGGTGTCCGACAATCACTTTAACATCTCTCGTAGGCAGATAAAAGAAGTAAACCTGTGTCAAAAAATTATGAACCATTTTTTCCAATACCATATAATAAAGGTGTAATTATTGAATAAATCAAGCCAATCAGCGCCGACCTTTAGCCGAACGCACGTCAGTGAACCACACGTCTGGTGTGCGTGAGCACTCCGCGTGGCTCACTGACGTGAGCCCAGCTAAAGGTCGGCGTTGATTGGCTTGATTTATTCAATAATTACTCTTTTATTATATGTAATAGAAAAAAATGGTTCAGGACTTTTCGACTCAGTTTTACTCCTTCTACCTGCCTACGAGAGATGTTAAAGTAATTGTCGGACACCTTGTATGCTAAACGGTACATTTGTGTAAGAGAAACTGAAGCTTTGTTAAAAGAGACAAAAATAATCGTGGAGTAGTTCTCTTCTTTTCTAGCAGCGAGTTGATTGGTGGCCGCGGCAGGCCGAGGGAGTGGCCGAGAGCAACGAAAATAAACGTCTGACTGAGAGTGAGTTGAGAGAGAGTGATAGTGAGAGGTGATAGCGTGCATGTAGCATGTATAGACTTGTTGAGAGACTTGGCAAACGCTAACAATTAACACTAACAATTCATAGACCTTTTTATAATTTAATTTACTTTATACTTCTATAGAATTTAATTTAACATATTTTTTATAAATTAAGCTATCTTTACATAACAACAATTGCTTATGCTTTAATGTAACCAAGTGTTGTTGTTTCTCTTTAAAAACATAAATAAAAGAAGAAAAAAATTATATCCATGCAAGACTCGAACCTTTATAATCACTCGAGCAAACAAGTCAAAAATAATGGTTTTTTACGTCTAAGGCCTGGTTTATGCGGGCAATAAGTGTTAACTTATGCCGGAACCGGTAAAGTTTCACTATAGGATTTCAATGGTTTTGTTTATACAAAATTGCCGAATGCGTATAAACATATGTATTGGAATCTTATAGTTAAACTCTACCGGTTCCGGCATAAGGTAACAGTTATTGCGCGCATAAACCTGGCCTAACTACTCCATGGTTAAATAAAACATGTGTGACTATTTGTGATTGGTCGACCGCGTGACTTTTGATTTTACGGTGAAAATACCGTTGATTATTGTGTTCTTTCGGATGGCACGTGCATGCTCACGTCTACGGGCTCATTCGGTCTCCATAACTTGTTGATTACGCATCGGCGGGCAATATACAATACGTATTATTTACTTCAGATTCGACAAGTGTCAATGGAACAAAAGAGTAAAATGTACGTGCTCGTAAGAATATTCTTCACCAGATAGATCCGACTTTTATATTGCTGAAATTACTTGGATGTGTAACATCAATACTAAAAGTTATGTAAATTAGAATAAAATTATGACTTTTTGAGAAAACATAGAAATTATGATCATATACGATTATATGTAAGGGATCAGAGAGCGCAAAATTTTGGATCTAATTTTATATGATCATACACGATTTTCTCTATTTATATACGATCATATAAAATCAGATCGAGCCAAATT